GACGGCCCAGGAAGCGCCCAAGACGGCCCAAGAAACGCCCCAAGGCGGCCCCCCAAAAAGGCCCCACAGAGGGAACACGAACCGACAATCCGAGCCTTCCGCCCCACGAGGCCCCCAGGAAGCCCCGAGAGGCGTCCAAGGGGCCCCAAGATGCCCACAAGAGGCCCCCAAGAGGCCCCAAGAGGCCCCACAGAGCGGCCCAAGAAGCCCCCAGACGGCCACCACGAGGCCCCAAAACTGCCTACAAGAGGCCTCCGAGATGCCTCCCACGAGACTCCAACAAACGTCCACTAGGCTTATAAACTACAATCCAAGTACGGTGGCGGGACGTGCCGTAGGCAGCTGGATAATGCGCACATACGCGTCTTCAAGCGTTGCCTGTGATATCCCCCAACGCTTGATGCCGTTCCCTTCCGCGCGTCGACCCAACGACAGGAACAACTGCCCGACAGTTTCCACGTCGCGGCCGACCTTGAAAGTCATCTGGCCGAGCTGAGAAACCTTTACGGGCTTCTTGTTTTCATCTTGAAACTGCGACGCAATGAAAACCATGGCCTTCTCCTCCTCGCCGTCGTTTGCATCGACTGTCAACATATAACCGGTTCCCCATACGTCCTTCAACTCCTGTACGGAACCCTGTGTGGCTATGCGGCCTTTATTCAAGATGACAATATCAGAACACAACGCCTCTGCCTCTTCAAGCATATGAGTAGTAAGCAAGAGGCAACTTCCGTCAGCCTTGGCTTTCCCGATGGTGGTCCACAGCTGACGTCGGGCGAATGGATCTAGACCAGTCGTGGGCTCGTCCAGAAACGTGAGCGTGGAGGAGCCAGTAAGCGCACAACCCACGGCCAATCGACGACGCATACCTCCACTGAGCTGCGAAGGGAACGCAAACCGCTTCTCGGTCAACAATGTGGCTTCAATCATTTGTTCGAAACATTCCTTCTCCTTGTCTTTACGTACTGCGCGAATGCGCCCGAAGAAATATATGTGCTCCTCGACAGTCAGATCCTCGAACAGAACCGTTTCCTGCGGGCACAATCCAATACTGTCTTCGCCCCCGTACGCGGTGGCAACCGGACGGATCAATATATTCCCCCGCTGTGGAGTTTCTTCGCCAGTGATGCACTTTATCGAGGTCGTCTTTCCGGCGCCATTCGGGCCAAGCAAACCTAGCGTTGATCCCGGCCTCATGAAAAAACTAACTCCATCCAGAGCCCGGCTCTTCGTCATTGAGAGTGGCAGGAAGCCGTATGCCATTGTGAGCTCCTGCACCTCAACCAGAGCCGACACTTCTTTGGGCGTTTCCTTCCTCCGGTACAGGGTGGGAAAACGCCGTGCGTCAAGTAGAAGAACTAAGATGCCCCAAAGTACAAGCTCTGCCAAGACAAGCCCTACAAGCTCGACGTACTGCACTTCCAAAGACGGCTTACCACCAACTGACGTCGCAATATCATCACCTGGACCTTGGATCATCATTCGAATCATCCTGTAAGGGGCCGTCGTGAACACCTCAGAATCCACTGCTTCCAACACACGCTGAAGGCTGATGCATCTGCCTCTGTCGGCGCATGCACCCACCAAGAGAAACAACGTATGATAAGCAGGCAACACTGGGCATGCAAGCAAGCTGGCGTAGCGGGTGCCTCCCATCCAGATCAGGTGCCCTCCGGTTCCAAAGGTTGTGATAGCACTGACCACAATCGGCACAACTGTTACTGCAACTGCCAGGGACATTGAAGCTACGATTGATGTTCTCGATCGCCCGAAGAGGAACTGAAACACTGAACCCAGAACCACCACAGAGAAAACAATTAGCAGCAATGGGATGGTCAGCACCACGACCGATGTGGTGGTCAAAAGACGCACCTTCGTCCAGAAACGTGCGACAGCTGCCATGGTCAACAATTCAAGGAACATCTGCGTAGCACCCTCAACGCCTGCTAAACTGGCCCAATACGAGTACCGCGAAAGACCTACTATGTGTAATAGTTGCCGCTGGCCAGACTCTACCTCGCGAGTGATCTGTTGCACGAAGAAAAGCAGCATCATCGATGTCATTGCAAGGACAACGAAGCAAAAAATTGCGTCCACCGCTGTGGTGATTATGCCTTCGGTGCCATATTGCCTCAGTGCTTCCCCGTAGTGCGGCCTGCCCAGCCTCTGCCAGATCGACTTGTCGTGAAGAAGCCTCAGCAAACCTGATTGCGCAAAGTGAACTATAAGCACAAGCACCGCGGGAAGAACTGCTCGAACCAGACGAAGGCCAAGCGAGCGCAGGCGCATATGCCGCCATAAGCACATTGAAGCTAGCGCCTTGAAGTGGCCAAGCATGCCCATGATGACAACGCCACCGCTGGCTTACCCAATAACGCAGAAGGGCAAGCGAGTGAAGCGGATTGCGCCGAAATTGCTTGAGCCAACGATGTGCAAAGCATGCGAGCACAATGTATCGAATCATTAAGACGGGGGCATGAGACATTCGGAGGGGCCCAACTACATAACTACAGTTTTCAAGGCAACCATGGAAACGAACGCCAAGTCCCTCAGGCAGAGCTTCGAATGGCATCACTTAGAGTGTGGCTTCAGGGCCGAATATCATGGATACAGGGTTGGCAATTGCGCTACACTTGGCTAACCTGAATCACAACTTCGGTCAACTCGAGCATGGAACGGAACGGGACCAAGTAAGACGAAGCCGAGCGCGAGGAGGAGACGCGAACCGAATCAACTACAAAGCTAAGCGGCACAACGGATGATTCAAGCTAGAACACATTGTTCATACGCACGTGAAACCTGAAACGCATGATCCGATCCACAAGTAAGAGAAACGGTTAAGTCAAGCCAAGCCAAATGTAATATACGATATACTGCAACGGCAAATGCCACGCTACTGTTAATAGTCATGTTCGCAGTGAAGCCAATACCAAAGGGTCAAACTTTAGCACGGTCACACCAGCGACGACCGCGATATGTCAATGCACGGCTTCAACACACGCGAAAGCGCTCGGCGAGTGCCTCACTCGGCCTGCAAAGTGGTTATGACGCTCACGCTGAAACTGAACCAATAGCTACACATACTACAGCCCCCTTCAAAGTATGCATACGATGCTCTACTCTCAAGACGTGCGCAAACCAAACAATCGATGTCCGAGTCAACATTACGCCAAATAACTGGACGCGCGGGTATCATTCCTGACACTGAGGCTAAATACGAGGCCTGAGGTACCGCTCAAGCCAGAACTCTGAGAGATAGAACAACGGACAGCCCGCACCAGATCAACGGGCGAACATTGCGGAGGTCAAGGCTACGCTGAGCTTGGGCCACCGAGGGGCCCGACGCCGTCTAGCGGGCTCGCCTGAACCCGAAAACATTGACATCTCTTGGGGACATTTGTTTGATTGCGGCCGCCTTTGGCCGGCGAAGCCGCCGAACCGTTTCACTTGTGCCTGCTTGCGCCAGCCTTCCGCCGAGGAGGGGGACTCGGGGGTTTGCTAGAGGCGTCTCAAGCAGGTCGCCAGCGCCTCGCTCCATATTGGGACGCACTGCGGTCCTCTCCATGGCCACGGGGGTTCCAAAAACGTGGTGGCCTGTAGAGTAGTGCCGTCCCACGGGCCCTCTGGGCCTAGGTAATTGCGAGTCTGTCGTGGGAAATCTGAAGATGGGAAGTCGGCATCGTCCAGTTGGGCCTCGAGAGTATGTTGCTTGATGCTGGGCCAATCCTTCGGGTTGCCCCTTGTGCGACGAGATAACCACCTACGAGTGCATCTACTCCATTGTGGGGTGCTGTGCTACATCAGTCCTTCTCCTTGAGATCTCCATTAAGACGCAATATCACGTGCAACAGTTGCGGAGAGGATGCGTACTTACGTCTGTGGATGGGTTCAGTTGTGCAACTGGATGTGGTATGCGGATGGGCATGCTTTGCACAAGTGCGCACGTGGATGCATGTGCACGCGTATGACACAATGTCCACGTCTCTTCGAACAAGTGTGCATTACGAACTTCGTATCCACAAGGCACGGCCGAGTGCAGGTCGTAAGTGCAGAATGTTGCGCACGATGAGCAAGTTCGCATGCGTTGAGTCGGGTAAGGGTGCCTGCAAGTGTCATGGCCACCCGTGCGGCGCGATGATTGCCACAGCGCGCGTCAGCGGGTGAGCACTCTGGCAGCCGCGCGCGCCGACCTCGACCCTCCACGCGCGGTAACACGCGCAGTGGACGTACGAAGATCAACGAATGGGGGCAAACGACCGAGCGGACATACATAATGCCAGCGCTTACCAGTTTGAAACATGATCCCTATCGCTATGTTTGACCTCACCTCACCTCGATGCCGATCTTAAGGATTCCCTCAGTTTCTGAGGGCCTATCCCTAAGATTGTACTCGCTTTTTGCTCGCCCATCTTAGGGATAGGGATTTGTTCCAGGCTGGTAAAGCGCGCCTTTCGAGACGAACGGCTGTGGGCACGGCCGGGCCAGAGCGGCCCAATGACCCCGAACGGGAGGTCAGCAGGCCGGACGATGCCGCCCAGACTTCGCAAGATCAGACGAAGCTGAGTCGGGTCAGGCCGATGGCGCCAAGCGGGGCCCGCCCCAACACGGTCGGACCTGGGCCAGAAGAGAACCCTGTGAGAACATGAGGTCCTCCGTCGGCCAAGACAAACGGAACATCCAAGGGGTGCCATCCCCAGGGTGCACACAACAAGGGCTCCCAACTTCGCGCTCTCGCGCCGCCTCCCAGGGGAGAAGGCGAGGATGAGGAGGAATCGGAGCCGAACCACGAAGCGCGAAGCGCCAACAACTTCGTGCCCTCGAGGGCGCCCTTGACACAAGACCATCCAGCAAGCACGAAGGACACTGCGGAGTCCTCCCTGAACCGACCTCGATCTCGGAACTCGGCCCGACGGCATCGAGGGCACGCCAGGGGCGAGGACTGGCCCGGCCTCCCGGGAGCTGCATCCCGAGGCGGGGCCGGGAAAAACTCCAGGCGTCGC